GGGGGGCCCCCCGGGGGGCCCCCAGAAAGGGGGCCCCTGGGAGGCCCCCTGGGGGCTCCCCTTGGGGGCCCCCTAGGGGGGCCCCCAGGGGGGCCCCAAGAGGGGGTGCCCCTAAGGGGGCCCCCAGGGGGGCCCCCCCTTTTGGATTCTTGGGGGGGCCCCCTAGGGGCTTCTGGGGGGCCCCCTGGGGGCCCCCAAGGTGGGCCCCTTGGACTGCTGCGCGCGGCGCTGTAAAGGGTTTGGGGGGCCCCCCGGGGGCCCCCAAGGAGGCGGGCAGCTGCGAAATGCATGCGAGGGTTTGGAGAGTCAGATTAGGGTTTAGGGTTTAGGGTTTAGGGTTTAGGAGTTCGGGTGCAGAGTCTGAAGCGAGGTGTATGTACACCCCGACGGCCAAGGGGGGCCCCCCCGGGGCCCCGAAGAGCTTTTGGGAAAAATAAGATGGCAGCGACAGTAGTTTGGGGTTTTAGAATTAAAAAATTAGGGTTTAGGGTTTAGTGTTTAGGGTTTAGGGACTAGGGTTTAGCGTTCAGGGGTTCGGGTATAGCGTTTGGAAAAGCCCCGGCAGGAGGCCCCACTCTCGGCCTTGCATGCCGATACTTTGAATCCCAAACCCTAAACCCTACACCGTAAACCCTAAACCCTAAACCCTAAACCCTAAACCCTAAACCCTAAACCCTAAACCCTAAATTATGAAACGTGTCTGATTCCTTGGCGCCTTAGTCCCACTTTGCGTCTTCGTTCCGTCTTTCCTGTTGCTTAGGGTTTAGGGTTTAGTGTTAAGGAATCTTCCAGCCCTAAACTCCAAACCCTAAACCCTAAACCCTAAACCCTGAACCCTAAACCCTAAACCCTAAACCCTAAACCGTAAGCCCTCGCTTGCTGATTCTGTTCCTGCAAAAGGCCGTGTCCCTTCGCGCCCAGCATCCAGCCCCCAAACCGCACCCCCAAACCCCAAACCCCAAACCCCAAACCCTAAACCCTAAACCCTAAACCCTCGAAATGAAGCGGACGCGAAAGCGCGTGTTGCGGGTGCAGTCGCGGCGCCCCAAGAGCGCGCGGCGAGGGTTTTATGACTTGAAGAAGAATTGTTTGGATCCAATTTTGAAAAAGAATTATAAAAATGACAAAACCCTAATTCAAAACAAACAACTTGTGGACTTGAAGCAACACCTCCACCTCCTCGCCGACGACCTCCAGCTCCGCACGCCCTCGCCCCACAAAAGGTCCTATACCCCCTTTTAGGGTTTAGGGTTTAGCGGTCGCGCGGGCGGGGGGCTGGCGGGCGGCACAGCGGGGGATTTAGGGTTTAGGGTTTGGGGTTTGGGGACCGCGGGAGGGTTTGGGGGGGCGGCACAGCGGGGGGTTTTGGGTTTAGGGTTTGGGGTTTGGGGTTTAGGGTTTGGGGAAGGAGGGGGTTTAGGGTTTTTGGTTTAGGGTTTCTGGCTTGGCGGCACGTTCCGGTGAACGGGTCTAGGATTTAGGGTTTAGGGTTTAGGGTTTAGGGTTTGTTTCAGGCTGAACGAGATGGAGACAAAAATTATTTCCAAGCTGGTGGAGAAGTATAAAGAAGACTATGTGGTGAACCCCAAACCCTAAACCCTAAACCCTTGACCTCCTGTCTTAA